TTAATAAAAAGTTTCTCAAAACTACTGCCACTAGATTGTAATCAAATGCATTTGTCACATGTAGGCCCAGGGGCGCACTGGAGAGTGTGCTGCTTGGGAGCATGGCGACGCTCCCGCCGAGGGTTTGGAACCCATGTGGAGACCGGTTCCCACTCACTGGCTGAGAGCGGTGCGGGCGCAACACCGAGGTCGCGGTCAGAAAAAAAAAAGAATTCTTCCCATAGTAATATTACGACCTTGAAATTCCCAGAGGACAGTTGTGTATTGACCTACGACCTTGAAATTCCCCGAGGACAATTGTGCATTGACTTCTAACCTGAGCATGACCTGGTGTTTGAACTCTTTTGGGGGAGGGGGTGTATAATGGTGCCCAATGTCTCAGAGCTGGGCTGACTTTCATGGTATAAATGGTCTAATTCCCCTCGTAAAATGTGACTCTAGTTTCTTAAATTATTCTTTAACCAAAGATAAAATCCCTAAAGATAAAATTCCAAGATAAATGTGCTCATGAAACTTTAATACTCTCTTAGATCATTGCTACTCAAAATGTGGAGTGATGGTGGTGTTGGTCCAGGAACTGTCTGTCACCTGTCCACAATGAGATGAGCACAGAACTAAAAAAGAACCAGCCTTTGACTGAGTAGTTTCATTTCTGTTGAATTTAACAGCAAAATGCTTAGATTGCATTTTATGGTATCACTTCCTAGTAATTGATTCTTATTGTATTTTACAAACATGTCAGTTCATAACAGATTTGGAGTGAAAAACAACTTGTCACCACCTTAAACCTTTAAAAAAATGGGTTACAAACATGTCAGTTCATAACAGATAGATTGCATTTTATGGTATCACTTTCTAGTAATTGATTCTTATTGTATTTTACAAACATGTCAGTTCATAACAGATTTGGAGTGAAAAACAACTTGTCACCACCTTAAACCTTTAAAAAAATGGGTTAGAATCATTACCACAATAAAAGTTATAGGCAAAAGAATCACATGTTTAAAACTTTAAGTCAAGATATGTATCTCATGTTTTTAGTAATCACCTTACTAAAACAATAGGAAAGATATGTAAAAAATAGGGGTTCTGGAACCTGGGGTTCCTCGCAGTCTAGGGCAAGGCTCATTGCTATTTTTGTGGAACCTCTTGCCAAGGTGGAAGAATAATGCTTGGCTTTCCTCTGATGATCTTTCCAGGGCCCAGAGGACACAAGGAATCAAAAGGCTTTCCCCTGAAGATGTGGAGTCCATGTGGGACCTTCTGACACGCAACATGTACCAAGTTTGACAGAGGGTGTGTATCAGCCACCTGCACTGTTCCTATGGTATGTCCTTGGAACCGCTCCTCCAGGAGTCAGTTCTTGTTCCCATTGTCTCTCTGAAGCAGCCTCTTGCTAAACGATTTTTCTCTGCCTAGTCTGGAGAATAGAAAGTAAATTGTTATGTTTCTGTTGCAAAATTGGCACATGTGGCATGAAAGAAATGCCAATCCAGTTGCCATCTCTAGGAGTCAGGATGCACTAGCCCTGCAAACTGGTACATTCCAGAACCAGTGGGCGTCCGTCTCCTTCCAAAGATGGAGGAGTGGTGAGGCTCAGCCACCACCCCGCAGAACAAAGATGGCCCCAGGACGCTGATGACGGTCCCATTGTCTCAATCGTATTAACTATAATAAATATGAGGAAATCGAGATGTTTAGGTTAGAATGTTGAAACTATAGTGATGAAAGCCTGAATAAAAGGAGGCATATTAGGTATCTTATTTTTCAATTTTAAAAATAGGTATGAAATCTAATCATTGGGAACTGGTCCAAACTGCATACCAAGAACATTTCTGGAGACAATGTTTTTCAGTCCTCCTGAAACTTTGACTTAACCAAATGATATTTAAATTCATGTCATCTAATTTAGAGTTTTTTTCTGATTGAGGACTCAATTGTCCATCCTAATTTTTGCATCTGTTTATAAGTGGATTCACTGTAAGGGCCTTTGTTTTTGTGACTATGTCATAGATACTAGTCTTAGTGGAACCCCCGGCCCCCACAGAAAACATGTAGTCAAATTTTCTCATTTCAAGTAGAAGACGCTGAGCTTAGCCAAGTTGATTATCTGACTTGTCCAAGGTCACAAAACAAATCCAAGTTAAGAACACAGGTCTTGTAATCGCCTATCCAGGGCTCTTTCCATGACTCTAGAAAAAGTCTGAATTATTATATAATTCAGTGAAAGTGAACATTTTCTGTCTTCCTGCTTCAGAAAGGTCAATGATTAAGGGGCATGTATGAGTGACAGGCTCTGCACCAGCTGAAGGAATATAGGTCAGCATGAATCATAACGTGATTAGAGTAAATTCCACAGCTTTCAAATTATTCCAAGTGAAACTGTTTCAGTAAGACT